TATGCCCGACAAGGCCATCTTCCCCTACATATACAGCTGGAGCCATGGGTCCCTCCTTATGTGCTCCCAGGCTGGTGGTTTAGACCCTGGGAGCACAGGTTGGTTGGTATTGTAGCTCTCCTCATGAGGCTGCAAAGCCTTTCAGCTCCTTCAGTCATCTCTCTAACTCCTCCACTGGGAACCTCATCAGTTCAATGGTTAGCTGCGAGCATCCAGCTCTGTATATCTCAGGCTCTGGTAGACCTCTAAGGAGACAGCTATATCAGGCTCCTGTCCGCATGCACTTCCTGACTTCCACATCAGCATCTACCTTTGGTGACTGCACAAGGGATGGACACCCAGATGGAATGGTCTCCATACGGCCCCTTCTTCAGTTTCTGTCCCACACTTTGTCTCCATATTTGCTCCCTTGAGTATTTTGTTACTCCTGCTAAGAAGGTCTGAAGCACCCACACTTGGTCTTCCTTCTTCATGAGCTTCATGTGGTCTGTGAGTTGAATCTTGGGTATTTCAAGCTTCTGGGCTAATATCCAATTATTAGTGAGTGAATGCCATGTGTGTTCTTTTGTTATTAGGTTACCTCATTCAGGATGATATTTTCTAGTTCCATCCATTTACCTAAGAATTTCTCAAATTCATTGTTTTTAATAGCTGAGTAATACTCCATTGTGTGAATGTGCCACATTTTTTGAATCCATTCCTCAGTTGAAGGACATCTGTTCTTTCCAGCTCCTGGCTATTATAAATAAGGCTGCTATGAACATAGTGGAGGATATGTCCTTGTTATTTGTTGGAGCATCTTCTGGGTATATGCCCAGGAGTGGTATAGCTGGGTCCTCAGGTAATGGTATGTCCAATTTTCTGAGGAACTGCCAGACTGATTTCCAGAGTGGTTGCACCAGCTTGCAATCCCATCAACAATGGAGGAGTGTTCCTCTTTCTCCACATCCTCACCAGCATCTGCTGTCACCTGAGTTTTTGATCTTAGCCATCCTGACTGGTGTGAGGTGGAATCTCAGGGTTGTATTGATTTGCATTTCCCTGATGACTAAGGATGTTGAACATTTCTTTAGGTGCTTCTTGGCCATTCGAGTTTCCTCAGCTGAGAATTCTTTGTTTAGCTCTGTACCTCATTTTTAATAGGGTTATTTGGTTGTCTGGAGTCTAATTTCTTGAGTTCTTTGTATATATTGGATATTAGCACTCTATCAGATATAGGATTGGTAAAGATCTTTTCCCAATCTGTTGGTTGCCATTTTGTCCTACTGACAGTGTCCTTTGCCTTATAGAAGCTTTGCAATTTTATGAGGTCCCATTTGTCAATTCTTGCTCTTAGAGCATAAGCCTTTGGTGTTCTGTTCAGGAACTTTTCCCCTGTGCCTAGGTATTCGAGGGTCTTCCCCACCTTCTCTTCTATTAGTTTCAATGTATCTGGTTTTACGTGAAGGTCCTTTATCTACTTGGACTTGAGCTTTGTACAAGGATATAAGAATGGATCAATTTGTATTCTTCTACATGCTGACCTCCAGTTGAAACAGCAACATTTGATGAAAATGCTGTCCTTTTTCCACTGGATGGTTTTAGCACCGTTTTCAAAGATCAAGTGAGCATGGGTGTGTGGGTTCATTTCTGGATTTTCAGTTCTATTCCATTGATTTCCTTGCCTGTCTCTGTACCAATACCATGTCGTTTTTATCACTATTGCTCTGTGATACAGTTTGAGGTCAGGGATGGTGATTCCCCCAGAAGTTCTTTTATTGCTGAGAATAGTTCTCGAGCCTGGGTTTTTTGTTATACTAAATGAAGTTGCAAATTGTTCTTTCTGTCTCTATGAAGAATTGATTTGGAATTTTGATGGGGATTGCAATCTGTAGATTGCTTTTGACAAGAT